TGAGGAAAGTTTAGGTCTTTTTCAGATCTCACTGTAGTGCAGTCTGCCCCGTTCATTCCATCCCCTTCATGCTCTATCCCCTTTACCTGTTATATTTTTCTCTTAGCACTAATTAAATGTAATATGCTACATGTTTTTCTTACTTGGTTTGTGTGTCTCTCCTTTTCCCATTAGAATGTCAGTTCTTTGTAAGCAGGAGATTTTTCATTTTCTTCACTATCTCCAGGTTCTATAGCCCGTGCCTAGCATTGGTAGATGCTCAGTGAACATTTGTCAAATAAATTTCCTTTCTGTCTAAATGAGAGTTTTAAGAGTTTGTGTCTGTTGTAGCATGAGAGAATTGCCCTCTGTAATTTTCTTAAGAAAAAAATCAAGTCCACTTGAGCTTTTTGTGTTCAGTGGAACTTGTTGAATACAGAGCATTATGCTTCATTCTCCAGCAGAGAACATGTGCCTCCTCGGGTTTCCATGTTGTAGGAGGACTGAGCACCCAACCCACAGTGTTTTATTTTGTAAAGATGGATATGGCTCTCTGACCTGTTGATTGGTAGCCCTAAAGGAAGAAACAAAGGACTCAGTTCTGAGCCCAGGCTGCTTTGACATTCATTTTATAAGAGGACATACATAGTTCACCCCTCGATAGCTTCTGTCCTAATCAGAGCTCAGGATGGAACAGTCCTCATTGTCAAATTGTTCTCTTTTACTTTGTCCTGCTTTTTCCTCTTTTTCTTTTCTTTCTTTTTTTTTCATTTAAAGAATGGGGTGGAGAATAGGGGATATGAAATTTCTGTCAATGACTAGTTATGTGAATTTTGGCATTTTTTTTTATCTTTCTTAATTTACTGATGTGGTAAATGAGAGCGCTGGGCCAGATGATGTTTTTCTTTGGTGAATAGGTTGCCTCTGCGGCCAACTTTTGATGTGCTTTGGGATACTCATATTTTCATTACAGAGATACGGCGTCCCTGCTTTGGGTCAGGCATGATGCCAGGCATTTCAGATATGCATTAGGCAAGATAGATAGTTCCTCTCATGGGATTGATTATGTCAGGGGAAGGCAGATAAATAAATATTTTGCATACAGGTGATTACAGATGGAGGTCAGGGATGCATAGGGGTTATAGAACAGGGTTGGCTGACATGAATTATTAAAATAATGAAAATAAAGCAGATTTTTCTATACTAAAAGAGATATCTATAGCAACAAATGGCAGTTTCTGCCATTTGTTTCCATAATTTCAGGTCTTACGAATCTGGGAACAATAGCAGAGACATTCTCTCTGATTGTGTGTTTGTGTGCTATATCGTTGTGAATATATGAAACAGTTTATTCTTGTATTATTATTTATTAACTAGAGGCCTGGTGCACAAAAATTTGTGCACTCGGGGGTGGGGGGTTCCTCAGCCAAGCCTGTGCCCTCTTGCAGTCTGGGACCCCCTCGGAGGATGCCCACCTGCTGGCTAAAGCCTGCTCCCCGAGGGATTGGGCCTAAGATGGCAATCAGACATCCCTCTGGCAGCCCGGGAGCCCTCAGGGGATGTCCACTTGCCAGCGGTGAGCAGACCTAAGCTGCAGTCAGACATCCTTAGTGCTGCTGAGGAGGTAGGAGAGGCTCCCACCACCACTGCTGTACTGGCAGCCATCAGCCTGGCTTGTG